ACGTGATGGGGAATATGATTTGATGAATATAATCTTATGCACCAAAATTACCTTGTAGACACAAAGAGAGGCTGGATTTCGCAGAAGCCCTTTGTTGAATCACCTTTTACTTTTTATTTTATTTGTAGTGTGTGGAAGGGCTTTGTAACCTGGCTTCACTGAAAGCCGAACAAGGATTACCTTTGGGTTGTGCTGGTGAATTCGTTTGATGAAGTCATCTGTATGCCGTTCTACAGAATCGATCCATCTGTCCTGAGCTTTCGTCTTTCGTTTGTCACACAGGGCCAGACACCATCATTTACAGAAATTCACCAAAGCACTACATTGATCTCGTTTCTTGACACATCTGTCATATGATGGGCAAAATCTCTGCACAGATATAATGTTGATGCACTCATATCTCTTCATAATGGTATTTCCTGAGCAGAATTGAAGCTTATTCTAAGGTGGCTACTGTGTCGAGCTTACTTCCATTTCGAGTGAAACTGTTCAGTAAAGAGATTTGAAGGTCGATTCTACCCGAAGACTATGGCGGATTCCTCTTGACCAGCTGTAGATTGGCTTTACTGGAACATTCATGTTGACGCTGTTTTCTTCGACTCCGGTGAAAACATGCTAAGCTCTCATCTGTCCTGTGACGGATATCGTCAGAGCAGGACATCATACTTACAATCATATTCAAGCTAACGAGTCAAGAAAACTCACGGACTCAGCCCTAAAATGTTGTATATATACTCTATACCTGATCTCTTTGATGGGGTATAAAGTTATTTGGTTATTTCCAGTCATATGCCAACCTCAAAGCATGAGAGTGTGTCTGTCTCTGTATGTGTATGTGACCATGTGAAATATGTATCTTGACCTGTCAGCTTGAATCTGGTTGTAAGGATGATACCTCGCTCTGATGACGTTCATCATATGACGGAAGAAGGCTTAGCACGTTTTCGCCTAAACCGAAGGAAACGGCGTCAACATGAATGCTTCAGTAAAGCCAATCGACAGCTGGTCAAGATGAATCCGCCATCGTCTTCTGGTGAAATCGACTTTACAATCACTTCACCAAACAATTCCGCTTGAAATCGAAGTAGGCTCCACATTTATGAAACAAGAGAATCTCTAAAACCAAACTTCTTCGCATATGCTATGGTAAGTCTTGAGCCGGATATGCTGGATTCAACAGTTATTCCCTTAAATCGTAGCTATGACGACCAAGATGGTGTGCAACACTAGAATGTATAATAAAAAGTAGGGGCGAGGCATGATGTCACAACGGTTGAACAGAAAATTGGTCAAGGGGGTTGCGTTCACTTGTCACTTTGATATGCTGTAACTCTCACTGGCAATGCAACCACCTTCCCTTCCAATGACTGTACTATTCGGGACACTTACATGTCTGCTCATCATATCGAGAACCCCAGCATTCGGTCCCAATGGTATGGAGAGCTACAAGTTAGCCATATTCTAAGAATTGGGCACAGCAACTATATGCAGATTCCCCTCAGAACCCGAATAATGGCTAGGTATTTTAGAAAGAGGGCGCGAGTCTTTTACTCTTTCCTGAGTATATCATCACTAAGGTCCTAACTCTATTGTTGTCTGGGCTCCCTGCCAAAATGGGGTGATGGTTGTCAGCTCGTTAATTAGCCTGTATTTTTTTGCTGGCCTGTCGGCCTTGGTCGACCATTTGTCCTGCCCTCCTCCGACCGAACTTTTGGTCTCCATTCTTAACTATATTTCCTAATTATAGCACTTTACGGGAGGTAAAGAACACAATCAATCGAGATTTTTTTTTCAAAATATGGCTAATGTAGCCATCATTTTATGTGCCATTACATCCAGGAGCCATGGCACTGGAAAGCATGACTGCTGGTATCCAATTAATTCTGGTTTAGCGCAGCCTTTTTAAGTCATTGGTGTGCATTTCATAGTCAAGCACGCTGATATTTATTTCTTTCGTCACATTTGGGGATTATGTATAAATCCCTTCGAATCTCTTCACCAAACACTTTCACTCGAACTGGAAGTATGCACAACAATTATGAAACAAGAGATTCTTCGAAATCCAACTTGCCTTGTAAAAAGTTTTTTTATTCAGACTGGATTTCATTTTCTACCTTGTCCTGATATCTCCAGGATTCCATACTAAATTGGAAGCCGGACCATGCTCTTCAAATGGCGACCAAGTTTCGGAGCCCATCTGGAGTGCTGATGATAGTAAGACGAAGTCGAAACTGTGGTCCACTTTGTGTGAAAATACCTTTTATAAAGCAAAGCATTATGAGGCCTCATTATTTCCTTGTTGGAAAATTCCACCGTCAATCATTAAATTGCTTTAATGAACCTAGTGTGACCCAACAACACCTCAATTAGCACTAAAGTATAGATACAGCAAGTCATTCTGAGTGAAGCCCTTCCTTAAATTAAATTGTTTTTGCTACCAGGTTTTTAATGAGCTGCCACATATTCGGATACAATATTATCCCATTTGGGTCGTGCAAGCCAGTGCTTGCTCATACTTTTAGGTCATCTTCACTTCACTAGAATTATGTCAGAGTAACCACATGGCTACCTGAGCCACTTGGTTGGTTCTACTGTGCTTCTCGAAATAGGCATGGCGGAATTGTGAAAATGAGGTGAAACAAGTCAGTTAAGAGGAGGCTGCGGCCCATCAAATCCGCATAAGGGTAGTCTTAACACGCATACACATCCTTTTTAAGCTATTTTAGTAAGACGATGTCCAATTTGTATCATGGTATTCATGAGGATGTTCGTAATTTGTCAATGGAAAGCTGCTTGATGCCACCGCACAACGGTTTGTTGACGAGCTACAGCAATGATAGGGTCATCCTAACTTCGCGATCAATTTCCATCCTTGCCACATGTGGCTTTGGGTCGCGTGACGTGAATTTCAAGGGAGAAGTCAGACATTTTTCCATGTCACATTCTGTGATGAGATTGTCGACGAATGAAAGTTGTATCTGCTATAACAATCGACTAGATTATTTATTTTGAGTTTAGACAGGTTTTCGAGACAGGCGCCATCAAAACATTGAGCTATGCTTGCCACACTCTCGAGCCTAAAACGAGCCTTGTACCATCAGGCATCCCTTATATTCCTTATCTAAATTTCACGGCTTACAAACTTTGCTACACTTTTTACTTTACATTTCACACCTGCCTATTAACGTTTCCTTCCGCTCCATCTTCTCCTCTCCCACTCTGCTCCCTTTCTCAACTCACACCATCCACCTCCACCTCCATCTCGCCTCTTACCCTCACCTCCGCTATCCATACATCTGCCAAATCCACTTGTCCATCTTCGTCCCTCTACTCCGTCTCTGTCGGTGGCCAGAATGGCCGAAGCCCTTGTGGCCAACCAGGAGTTCCTGGCGGCTCGCCTCCTGCAGGTGCAGCAGCCTCGACCGAAGACGGACGGCCTCGGTCTGATGCACTCGCCGTCGGCAGACGGTGACAATTCGTCGTCTCCTTCCCGGCTCAAACGGTCTGCTGAGAATGGCGTCGTCCATACTGAACCGATGGAAGCGGACTCGGATCCGGGGGAGCCGAATGAGGCAGAAGAGTCACTGCACCGCCGGTTCGTCCCGCATTTCGCCCCAGCAGAAGCGGTCACGAAGGATGGAGTAGCTCAGGCGGCGACGCCAGGGCCAAACGTCGAGGGCCGTCAAGAGGACGGGGTGAACGGCGCGTACTGCAG